GTATACACACACACATACATATATGTATATGTATATGTATATGTATATGTATATGTATATGTATATGTATATGTATATGTATATATGTATATAATATATATATATATGCTGGTCTTGTTGTATTCGAGTCTTTTCCCATGTAAGATTGAGATTGTCTTGGCAATGTTTCAGCGAGATCTCACTCGTCATTTTCCAGCTGGTGATTTTGGCTTCGTGTTTGTGCGACCCGAATACAACAAGACCAGCATACCTACACCCGTGAAAACACAGAAAATAGATTTAAAATTTCCAGGAAAGATAAGAAAAAGAAACCTAAACAATAGAAAATAGTTAAAATCGGGCCAAACATTTCAAAGGTTGTTAAGTGAAATTAAAATTAGGGGACATCCATTTGTGTGTTGCTTTTGACTTGAAGAAGATGGAATATAAATTAATATGGCTTTCTTATATGGCTATCGCTATACCAAAAATACTTGATTATCTAATAAGATTATTAGATAATCTAACAATATGATTAAATTATTAGAACTGAAGAAAGCAAAAGAAACTTAGGGTGATGACTTTAATTAAATAATCTGATAGAAAAGATATTTTGGGGAATCTATTTTTTCTTGAAAAGTAGAAACATTAGATTCATATGTTTAAATTTATTTCATCATGTGAAGAATTTGTACATTTGTGAGGAAAGTGAACATTATGGAGAAGTGTACATACTACATTTACCTGCAGGCAAAAAGGGATACAACAGGAACACGGTAAGAAGGAATTGGTATAAGAAATGTATTTCCAAATACTGCAAGTATAGAAGGGATAGCTATAATAAATTGGGTAACATGACTGCAGAAATCCAGAAACTGAGCCATTCAATTTCTGCCCCTTAACTGCTTTGAATTGTTGGGGACATCGTAAAGGTATTTGCCTGTCACATCTCAATTCAGAATAACAGAGTTGGAAGAGACCTTGAAAGTCTTTTAGACCAACCCCCTGTTCAAGCAGAAGACCCTATACTATTCCAGACAAGTGGCTGTCCAGTCTCTTCTTAAAGGTCTTCAGTGATGGAGCCCCCACAACTTCTGAAGGCTAGGCATTTATTCATGATTGTATAGGTCTCACTGCTACATCCTGGTTTATAACATGGTTGGAAACCCAGAATGTGGGATTGCTAAGTGAGCAAATGAGTATATCATAAGAGGTGGATTCAAAGATCATGTTCCAGTGGAGGTGAAATAATCTGGGAACATACAACTATGAAGATAAAAGAGGTTGAAAAATAGTAAACATTTATCTCCTATCTTACTATGTATGTGTAAATTATAACAGCTAAGAAGTAATGGATGGTATATCCTATGATTCCCTTAGGTCTTAATTTATCTTGTAATATACTTCTTCCAAGCAGATAATAATATACACCATGAAAGGCCATGCTAAATCACACTGGCTGTGTATCTAAACAATAACGCTGCAGAAGCTTATACTTTTAATTATATAATGCCAATTTTCTTCTGCACCATTTTTTTCTCTACCTGGTTTCAATTTCTGTAGGCATCAACTATCATAAAAAGTCCTCTATATTTATGCTTTGCTATTCATTGAATTACTTTTTCCCTTCCATTAGCTGCAAGTTCTGAATTGTAATGGACTAAATATTAATAAATTAAAGATGTGAATTATTGAATTTAAATTTTAACAAGTTAAGCAGTGAATTATTAAGTTAAATGTTAACAAATTAAGAACAATGGATTATTAAATTAAGGATCAGTATTTATCATAATCCTTTCTGCTTTATGCAATAACCTGTAAAGCATTTTAATGAATGTGTATTTCTCAGCAGTAATCATGTTATGACTAAGAAAACATTTTATCCATTACTTGAATGAACACAGGTTACTGAAAATTCCATCAGACAGAAAGCTGCTAATGCCATAAAATCACTCTAATTACCTAATAAAATATATATTTTTCTGTTGTTAAGCAAAGATTAAGTAGGAACCAATTTTGAGAGCCATGAACATTTCTGATATCCAAAAAAAACCAAAAACCCAACCCCTTGTACATAAGACCAGCTAAATATATCACAATTTACAGTGCATTTCTATACATGTTCATTCAAAGAATATTCATTGCACTTAAATTCACTATGTAATAGTCATCCCTTCAGAAATCACTTCAAGTCCAACTGCTTATCAATGACATCACATATTTTAAAAATAATCCAAAAGTGACTCTGGTATTAAATTAAAACTAACTTTTAGTGGCAAAATTGGAAATTGTTAACACTTTATTTCCACAAATTGCTCCACTGAAAAGTACTGTACCTAGTTAATTCAATAATAGTTACATCTGAAAACATCTACTTAATATTTCAAAGCAGTGATATTCCTATAACATGAATCACTCTTGCTATCATTTTTCGCTTCGTCAGCCATTTATGCTAAGCTATGCAGATTCTGCTATTTCTCCCATGTTAACGTAACATCATTTTAAGATGTTTTTAAGGAAGTGGCAGAATGCATGCTCAGCAAATATTTTGTTCTGTAATAAAAACTAAGCTAAGAATCAACGGAGGAGCGGAGAACTGAAAAAAAAAACCTCTACCATACAGTAATCAGTTTCTTAGATCTTGTTCAGAAACCATTTCAAAGTAATTTGACAGAGAAAGACATTAAAGCAGTGTTTCTCAACCTTGGCAACTTGAAGATGTCCGGACTTCAACTCCCAGAATTCCCCAGCCAGCATTCCAGACATCTTCCTGGGAGTTGACGTCCAGACATCTTCAAGTTGCCAAGGTTGAGAAACACTGCATTAGAGCTTAGTAAGATAATTCTTTTACCTTAAATTGTGATAGTGATTCCAAAGAATCTTTTCATACACTCTTTTGGGGCCTTTTTTCATTTATTGCTTATTATCTATTAATAGTAACAGCAAAAATAATTTGTGTAGATGGCATTCATGTACATTGTACAAGGCATTTTGCTCAGAATACAATTGATAGGACATTGCCCCCAAAGGATTTACAATCTAAAAATCAACAAAGAGAAAGAAACAAAAAAGAAAGAGGCGATCATTCTGAAGTTATTTTAATGAAAACCTCTTAGGCCCATGATGGTGAATCTATGGCATGTGGGTCACAGGTGGCATGCAGTACCCTCTCTGTGGGCACATGAGCCATTGCCCCAGTTCAGACCACTTCAATTATGACCTGTGACTGAGACAGAACATTCTAACACGGGGCTTTATGTTAGAATACAATACAATGGAATGTGTGCGTGCTTCCTGCCAGCCAGCTGGTCATCGGGTCTCTGCCGTGCATGTGTGGCGACAGGGCACATACAGGGGGCATGCCCACATGTTTGGGGGGCTGCATGCACATTGCATTTTGGGGATTCAGGTGCATGTGTGCGCATTTGCATACCACACACACACTTTGGGCAGTCAGTCCAGAAATGGTTAGTCATCACTGTCTTAGACAAAGATACTTGTTATAAACAAAACAAAACCTTATTAGTCTATATATTCCATGAGGGGTTAAGAACAGTGATGTGCGGTCAGCTTTAGAGCTGGTGAGGCACTTTTTAGACTTGTGGACTTCAACTCCCAGAATTCCACAGCCAGGCATGCTCAGTTCTGATTTAAAGCGACAGCATTCTTCCCCCTTGCAAAATAAGTTTTCCCATTTTTTTTCTTCTCCCTCCCCCTCCTTTCTCCCTCTCTCCCTCCCTCCCTCCCCCCTCTCTCAAACAGACACACGCACACAAAGAAATTGGATCCCTCACTCACTCTCAAGCAAACACAGAAGTTGGATTGGATATATTTTCCAAAGGCTTGAAAGCAGCTCCTCTGCCATACCCCCCTTCCCCTGCTGCCTTCCGATCAAACTTTTTGAATTCCTCCCCCCTCCCCACACACGCACATTTTTCCAGCTGTTTCAGAGACGATTACAACTCTGCTTCTGCCTGCCCTGCCCTGCCTTGCCCTGCCCTCCCCTCATGAAAGGCCAGAGACTGAGCTAGTTGCTCCCAGAGAACTCTAAAAAGCCTCTAAAAATGCCCTCTACAGGAGGCAAGAGAATACGTGCCTCATTTGCATAAGGAATTCTTCACATTTTAACCCTTGGTTATCTCTTAAAAGGTGAAAAATTCCTTATGCACAGGAGGCCCCTATTTCTATGGCCTCTTCCTATGGTTAACACAAAGCACTGTTCCAAGTCACTGTGAATCTGGTAGCAACTACCTTGGCTTTAATTATTTTTTAAAAATTATTTAAAATTCTTTCCTTTTCCTAATGACTGGTGAGGCCACTCCTCCCCTGCCTCTAGTGACTGCATGTCCCTGGTTAAGAATGAGAAAAGAAAGTTTGGAAAACGAGCAATCTAAGGGTTGGTTAAGAATATTGGAGTTGGATAAGTAAAAATCATAATACAGCATTAAGATATCAGAGCAAAGGAACAGAGAAAAGTTTATAGTACATCCAGAAGATATGTTTCCCATTTTAGCAGGGGCAAAACACATGCTATAGATACATGACTCATTGCTATTGTTTTAAAACATTCAAAATGAAAAAAAAGATCATTTTGACACAATTACATGATGCAAAGAATTAATTCTCTGTTCTGCTTAAAATGTCAAATATTCATAGGTAATGAGTTCTTCTTCCAGTGGATGGACTCAAGCACAGGTTAGATAGCAATGCGTCATTTCAAGTTTTCATTGAAATGTTGGATTACAAAATCTTGGGAAAATACTTTGGCTAAAGGCTCCTGTAAAAAGAGCTTCTTTACTATTGTGGTCCTTTGGATACAGTGATATATTGTCCAATTTGTGCTTTCTGGCATATTTTATTTCATTTTATCATTTTATTTTTCTTGTTATTTATTGCATTCTCTTGTTTTAATTGTTATAAAGTGCTCAGAGTAGCTGGGAGGTGGGTGGCATACCGATTTGATACGTAAGATAGAGTTTATTCTTTAAACTCAAGAATTGGTTTTTTTTTCCTGATAAGTCTATATAAGTTTCTTAACTTTTTTGTGCCCCATGAGAATCAGGTGAAACTACCAATGCTTTGTCAAAAAATGTATTCTAGTACCTAATATAAAAATATGGATATAGACTGTATTACAAAGGAAGCCAAATAGATTCAAATACAGGTTTCAAAATATTAAAAAATAACAAATATCACATACAGTGATAAAGGTGCATCCTTATTAGTCCATTAGATAGTAAACAATGCAAAACTTTTTTGTTAAGAGTACAATCATTTTAAATAGTGACATTTATTGAAGTTAACAAACAGTTGGGGGGAGCAAAGGCTATAAATTACATTGTTGCATACATACAATAGGCAATGAAAAGCTACATTTCAGTTAATGGCTGGTAAAAAATTAATCTGCCTTCATTTGTGGTAAAAATAAAGCTACAATTTGTTCTCTAAGTTGAGTGTCCCTGGACTCCAAGTGAAGAACTATAGTCTACTGCAGTGGATCTCAACCTTTGGTCCATGCACCCCTGGGGGAGGTGGTTGGCAATGTCATCACAGGGAGTACACGAAGGCTTGAAGAAATGTTAGGATTTAAATCTTGAGTTAAATCTTGGTAGCCCATGGCCATCACCCATAGCCACAAAAGGTATTTAAAGGGATCCATGATGAAGAAGAGGTTGAGAACCACAGTTTTATTGTATATTTTCTCTCTTTCTCTCTCCTCTTTCTTACCAATTGCCCTACATTTCCCTCTTTGCACAGTGCTATTGGCTCTTATTCTCTTTTGAGTGTTAGGGAGAACATAGCAACCATCTGAAATCTCAATTGGAATATTTCATGACTGTTAAGTGTAATTGTTAGAAGGTTTCAAGAGGTGCAGAATTTATTGATTTTGAAGCAGAGTTTCATGTCATCTCTTAACACCTCCAAATTCTTCCCCATCTTCAGTCATGTTTGAAAAGCCTCCTTAGGTGGCAATTGTTACTCTCTGATCAGTTTTACTGCTACTCTGGGATATCCTGTAAGAAACTTGGGAGTACATGTAACTGAACCTTTTCTTTTTTGTTAATGATACAATCACCCGCCTATGAAGTACACACGTCCCTCACTTAAGTTTGAGAGCTGGGGCTAGGGGACAGAAAGAGAAAGACTCCAAAACAAACATTTCCAGTCCAAACAAAACAAAACCAGAAATTATTTGGAAAACAAATCAAGTTGTACCTACATTTAATGCTTGTGTTTAAACTCTTTGGAGCAGATGAATCAACAGCAGCTGAAGTAACAACAACAAGAAAAATGTTTATCTTCTCAATGCAGTATTTCATTTTCAAATACAGAAAAAAAGAAATAGCTTGCTTGCAACCAATAGGAAACAGAGGTTATTGAAGCCTGAATTCAATTAACTTCAAGCTCTTAAGGAATCTTATTTAGATGTTTTGTTTATAAATTAACTGATGATAGCTTCTTTGTTGAATATGAAGTGAGAACTTCTACTGGTGCAACTGTTAAAAAAAGTATAATATAATTCACATCTCATATCATAATTCATATCAAGGAATAATTGTGTGATTTGATTTTGCTTTTCTGCTTAAAGTACACCCTGTTTCTCAACTTATCCAAGCCAAAAATGTACCTGCAGTGTTTTAGTCATTATCGGCATACATTTTTGTTTTCAAAGTATCCTCCACAACTTTCCCCTTATTTCTTTGGCACTTTGTATACTTTTTAAAAAAAGTGATGCATATTAAAACTGTTTAGAAAAGGGAAGAAATGATGCAGGCCTATAAACAAATAGTATAAATAGTTTGAATTTCTGCCGAAAAGCAAGAGCTTCTGTTTTAGCTCAATATAGAATGGGAACAAATGTTTCTAAACTGTGGTACCATATACTTCCAAATTGACTTTGCTACAAAAATTATGCAGATCCTTTTGAGAATGGTGAGCTTACTACTGCTTGAATCTTGATTGTTAGTAAAAAAAAATTAAGGCTTTACAAAAAGCCTGATGGGAATTAAAAATGGGGGCAGGCAGATTGAATAATAAGAATTTCCACAGTTCAGCAAATTTTACTCTAGTAATAATGGGTATAGAATATAGACAGTCCAGTTTTTAGGCAAGATGCATATTTTGCAGTTCTGTACAATACTAATTCAAAGCTATTGCCCTGTTAATATATTTTCATTTATTCCTTTAGTATATTAAGGATTATTCTAGCCTTTCTTTTCTAGGTGTCTATAATGGCTAACAATAAGATCATTAAGTAAAAAAGTGAAAGTAGTAGTTTTTCAATTCACCTAAAAATTAAAGTATATTTTATCAAATATAAAAAATACATTTAAAATGTATAAACATGCTCATTCAGGAGAAGACTTCAAATGATCATCTTTAGTACTAATTTAGCTAGCAGAAGCAGAAAGATGTCTGAAGATGAACAGATGAAAGCCTTTGAGACTCAAAGGGAATACTTCCTTCTAATTAATTAATTAAAACAAGGTTATGTGCAACCTCCCGGAAAGTGGGTTTTTGGGAGTCCCCTCCAAAGCTGCTATAATAAATTAGTGATAATGTCCATTTCCTGCTTTTCTACCACAGGACCATAGAGCAGGCAAGCGCCAGAGCAGATTGTCAATATCTTCCATATAATATTAGGAATTTCTTCTTTTAGTTTCGATGAGATCATCTTACGTTTCTTCAGAAATAAATGGTCATCAGTGTTTGCAGGGTTTAAGCCAGCAATGCATAGAATCCCCTTTTCTTTCTTTTATTAGACACGCCACATATCCTTTCTTTTATACAAAAGGTTCCCTGGGGGAAGAGGGTGGAGAGCATTCTTTTCAAGAGGGTGACCTGATTATTTACAAATGGTTTTCTTTTATTTGTAAGCTGCCAGGAGTTGTCAAGGTGTTGGATGGCCTTGAACCTTGATTACATAAATAAATAAGAATCTGGGATTCTCCTGACAGGGCAAGGCTTCATTTTGATAGGAGAGGAAAAACAGAAGTGGTGTCAAATACAGGTCACAGGATTCACAACTCCCAATCACTGCTGAAGCCAGATTAGTTTCCCCCTTCCGCCCAGAGTTGGCATCAAACCCTAAGCAACTTCTATGGCTCTTTGTTTTAGAGAATCCTATACTGCAGGGTGTTCATCTTCTCTTGGACAAAACACAGCTATAATTTCTTCTCTCTTATAACATAGGGCAGTTCATACAGATCAGGAGAAGAGCATGTCTAGTTTCTAAAATCATGATAAACCCAACCAAGCTAGAAGAAAAATGTCTTTGTAATCCAAAGTTTACCTATACGTAGGCAAATATATATACATATTTTTCTTCATGATTGTAGTCCATGAACCAAAGAGAACAGCCATGGAGATAATGTATTATCAATATGCTGTTTCGTTCATACCCCTCAGAGATCTACATAGGATTATCAAAAAGAAAGCATGTTTCTGTATGCTGCCTAAACTTTTTTGTAGAGATTTTGCTTGGTGACCCACCTCACATCTTTGAATGTGATGTTAGATTCTCCAGTAGAACTCAGAACTGGATTGCAATGTTTGAAAATCAAATTGAAAGCAGTTTCATTAGGGGAGCAATGAAGAAATTGGCTTTGAAATCTCACTGGGTCAAGAAATCATCCTTAAACATTTTACCTCCTGGAATCTCTTATCTAGAATGGGAAGTATCAGAACAGAACTTGGATCCTTGTCATCTCTGGATTAGACTAATACAATAATGCAAGGACTTGGGATTGCCCTTGGAAACCACCCCAAAAGTTTTAGCTCATACAGAATGCAGCAGCCCATGTTCACCAGGCCTGTCCTGTTACACTGATCCTGCATGACCCATAATAAATGGCACTGTGTTTCTGTTTCTGTTTGCTATTTTTTAAGCTGTATAACAGGACTGTCAAACTCGTGGCCTGCCTGCAGGCCAGATGCATCATGCACTGGCCATGCCCATGCCCAGTTTAGAAAACTGGGGGGAGGATTGTGATACGTCACATGACGATGCAAGTTTGACACCCCTGCTCTATATGGCTTGGTATCTAGCTATCTAAGATACTACCTTTACCAGCTAGATTCTGTCTAACTGATCTAGACTGCCAGGCAATATCTACTAGAAGTCCCTGTAAGTACAATAGGACCACATGCATTGCCTGGGGCAAATCCTCTCCCATAGAAGAGCCTGCTCCCACCCATAAGCAAGGGAAGTGTCTCTAGAGGAGAGAAAACATTTTTTGTAGAATGCCTTAAGAATAACTACAGAGGCTTAGGGACATATAGAACTAGACTAATAGAACCATGTATGTATGTATGTATGTACCCTGCCTTAAGAGCCGAGGTGGAACAGTGGTTAAATGCAGCACTGCAGGCTACTTCAGCTGACTGCAGTTC